GACCTTGAATATACTGATCTACTCCTACTTCGCACAAAATTTCTCCGGAAATTAAAAAGTGGACACAATACTGTTGGGGTTGGGGTTAAGGGTTGGGGGCTATGGTGACGGGTTATGCTTAGGGGTTAGGGTTAGGAGCTGGGGTTAGAGGTCAGGGTTAGTGGTAAGGGTTTAGGATAAGGAGTTAGAGTTATGGGTTAGCGCAACTATTTCACACCCATCCAAAGTACAACCGCGCATCCCCAATAGCTTTTTTTGCACACAACAACTTGACCTCGTCGCCTGTGTGTTCCCCGACCCCACCTGTAAAAGCCCCTATTACCACCGGTTCCTTATTAGAGGTGACTGGGGTTTGTTTACTTCAGGTGGGGCTACCAAACCACATCCGAGCGAAATATTCACCTTTGTCGAACATTTGTCCTCAATCCGCCCTCATTTTTGATTTCACCAATACTTTCTTGTTGGCTGGAGGGTTAGAGCTCACAAGACTTAAATCAAAACACGATCTTAGCCTATTAAGTCCTGCAGGAGAAAACCTCGACATAATTCCTTGTAGTTCAGCGATTCGTCCAGAACGCTGGTAGACAGAAAGTTGCCTGGCCAAATGACAACGGATAATTTGGCTTAAAAAGTTTTACTACACAGTCCCTGAATTTTTGACGCATCTCTTTTGCTGTTCCGTGGGATAACTTGAAGTCATTCATTGCAGTAAAACTAACAAATCTCAGACAGACATCTGTCGTTCAAATTCTTAGATGTTTATACCGCGGACCGGTTTTTTTCGAGAGATTTGACTTTGGCGCCACTAATGAAATAAACAGAGAGAGAGAGGTGGATAAATAGAAGAGTTTCGGAAAATTCGCGCTGTTTTTTTACAAGGATCGGTTTATCAGTGCCTAGCTACCTGTCAGTCGCTATCGCGGAAGATCTGCATGTCTGTGTTTCTAGTCCCAACTGCTTGTCAGGGTTATGATTGGCTGAATGAAGGCAAAATAAGCCCGAAACAGTACTGTATCGGTCTACTCGCATTCTCCGTCGTCCCTCCTCGCTGCTATTGTGACTTGGCCAACTTCGGCCTGGTAATTGGTTGCCCGTTCGTGACCTTTGCCACACATACGGAGCTTGTAGCTTCGGGAAGCCAGTAGATCGGTGTGTGCCTATTCCTGCGGGAGAAACGACCACTTTTAAATTGCGAAATGCACTGCTTCTCCATTACTCACGTCAACAGTGGTCTTTCTGGCGGCCATGAAATGAAAACGTTTCTAGGAAAAAATCCTGCCTTGGGGTACTACTTAGAACGGCCAATCGCAAAGGCGTACGTCTGTTCTAGTGGCAATGCTGAAACTACGATAACTTGGTTCGTAAATGTTGCAAAATAGATGCTCCCCGGACACACTGATAAACTTTGGCAATAAACCTGAAAACCAATACGAGGGCTCCGATTAATCCATTACCCTCTTCAGCCATTGGATTTATATCTTTTTTATAGTATGTTGGACTGTCTTTTCGGAAAAGCGGTTTAACTCTTCGCAAGAAAATGCTAAATATTTTCTACCTGCTTAGATTGAGCGAAACTGCAGAGTTGATAGTGTTGAAAGCGTCCGATGCGGGGCAAATCGATCATAAAAGCCCTTCTTGCTTTTGGGGTCCTTTATCTAGTGTTATTTTTTGCTGCACCCTGCTGCTTAGTCACATTAACAAAAACGTTTCAAAGGCTTGCATAAAAAACCGGCAAGATATTTCGCTTCCTAGAAACACAGCTCAACATCGTTTGCATTCCGTGAGTAGTTAATCAGGTCACATGATTACGTTGATCCCAGGAAATATTGTCATCTTTTATTGGGCTATTGGGAGCAGAATGGTTAAACTACCGAATCACCGGAACAACTAAGTGCTCCTGGCTATATGTAACTTCAAAATAGCTATTCAGGCATCTGTATTACAGGTGGACTTACATAAGCAACGCCATTTCAAGGCATCATAAATTCTATTTCTGGAAAAGGATGATACTGTGTCAGTTAACCACGGTAATGATTAATTCGTGGGCATTGCTGGCGTAACACATTCAGCGCACAACTTATTCGCACACCTATCAACGCCCACGCACGCCGCGACTGTTAAGACCTGTAGGGGCGCATAACGGGCATTGGGAGACACAGCAAAATGCCCTGATTAACAGAGAATTTCAGACGAAAATGGGTTTATTTTGATAGAAAATGAGGCAGACGGGTAGATAAAGGGGTGTGTAACTGGCGCTGTGTTGGAGGTGCAACTTTCTTGTGCGAAAAATTGCTGTTTGTTGGAGTTACGCGATGGGCGAAAATCCTGGCAGAAAGATCGAGTGTTTTGTGTCAAGACGGTGGAAAACGGCATACGTGAGACAAAAATGCACAGCACATCAGTGCCTGGCGGCAGTCGCACGCATTCACCAGGCCAGACCTCCACCCGATGCCGCCTTAAAAGTAAGCTAGCATGAAGTTAAGAGTCCGTTTGCAGGTCGCTAACTATCGCCGGCGAATGAAGGAAACCGGGTCGCGCTAAATGCTATAAAATTCAAGTACTATGCATAAACAATCACATCCATTATCAATGCTAATTAGACAGGTTGGAGGCCAGCAAAAGAATGGAAAGCATTTAGCACAATGGAAAAGATAGCACCGTCGACCATGCTTTAGTCCGCAGATGGGGCGACAACTTCAGACAGCTCTTCTACTTCCACACATTACCAGCCAACTGAATCGGTTTTTTCCACGACAGAGCTTCATAAAGGATTAACCACTAGCCTATAGAAGGATAAGAGAGGATGTAGCCTCCAGCAGAAGAAGTCAGTACGCTCGTCAAAGACACGAACAGAAAAAAATACGTTCAGTTCAGAGGCCCCTCCAAATCTCGCGTAGTTTCTCTAATTTACAGACAATCGGCATCATGTAAAATGTCGAACGTGGGTCAGCACAGGCTTAACCTACAAAGCAGCAGCAGCAGCGGCAGCAGGAGTATATATATACATAGACCGTGGTGGCAAAATCAATTCATGCAATCGGGATGAAACTGCAACTCTACCTCCTTCTGCTCACCGCAATCGTTTTGGGTACCGCGATGGACGGCGCCAGGGTGAACGCAGCAGACAGTAGACGTTCTCGTGTGGCGGAGCAGATTCCATTGAATTTTATTCGAGGCGGTGGTCGCTGGGGTGGCGGTGGTGGTCGTTGGGGTGGCGGCGGTGGTCGCAGGTGGTGAGCCCCAGTGTAGCTCCTGAGGCCCATAGTATTCACGTTTCCCCCTTCCTCTGTTGGACCTGCTAAATGCTATCGTTGTTTGAATAAATTTTGACAGAAAAATTATCACCTCTCCTGTTGCACAGACTCCTTCCGTCCTTGGCTTTTGTTTAAGACTGAATGGGGCCCACTACTGATGATTACAATTATCGGTCTATTCTGAGAAGGCCTTAGTTACTGGCCACGTACAGTTCGTGACCTATCTGCTGAAATGCCACGAACTGTGAACTTAAATCGCTGCAGCGCACGATACTGCCACTCCGCATCCACGAAAGTTATACTGCGTAAAATCTACGACCGAGCTTCAAAACAAGGCATAGTTTGGTTCAGAAAGCACTATGTATTGACTAAGAACTAACTTATTTTAGGAAAATTCACCAAATCAAAAATCGACTGTATGGGAGGCCAACTATTCAGAGTCTAATATAACTGTCAGCAGAGAAGTGAAATTTCACACAACGACAAAAAATTGAAAAGCAGTAACAAATACAACGTGTTAGTACTTTGTTGATTGTTCTTTAGCTTTTAAAGTTGCTGTAAGGCGGGAGGGCATGTTGACTACCAAGTTGTCTATGGTGGTTTGGCCTATGTAATTAATAAGCAAAAATACCAACTGCTGTCCCATAGAAATATGTTTCCTTGCCTTGTCCCCATTTCTTCCGATTGGTGCAAAGAGATTTTCGATAGGATTTAGGTCCGAGCAGTTGGCGGGGATAAAAATGCTTCGAAGGCCGCAGACAAAGAGGCTGGCTGTGGTCTAAAATATTATATTATAGTCGTAAGCTCAATTAGAAACATATCTCCTTTGAGCGGTGGACAGGGGCATTATTCTGCATTATTACAGTGTCCATTCGACGTCTATGAATGCCGTTGTAACCGAAGGCATCCTTTACGATGCCGATGAACTCCTTGCTATTTATCGTCTTCGCTGTTGAACGCCGGACCGGTCGCTCTCCGAATTTGATGGCCACCTAAACCATCAGGCGTCGACAGTTCTTGAAAGTTGGCGTCGGCATAGTGTGCTCTCGTTGAAAGTTCCTCTCACATATGACCACCTGGGCCAACTTCGGAGGCTTGTCTAAAAATAAGATCTCATCACAAAAGTAAATGCTCTTCCAGAAGGAAAGTCTGTGATCAATATATTTTTGAGCAAACAAAAAACGTTCTCTAATAAGTTCTCTACTTAAGAATGGCTTTGTCATGGCGTTTTGCTGACGGAGACCGAATTCTTTCATTCTTTTTTCAAATTATATGCAAAAAAACATTGACAGGTGTTCCCTGTAAATAGCCTTAAGGGGCATATAATGATATGTTTGCGTATAATGGCAGCCAGCAGAAACCATTTCTTGCAAGTGGCCAGTCGTCTAGTTTGGTTTGTACACACTTGACACGAGTACGAATCCCATATGATCCCTGGTGTGTGGTTGACTAAGGACAGGACTACGGACAGGGGAAATAAGACCAGTCCCGTATGTAATTCATCTATCAGACTAGATCGTTGAACGCCTCTACCATGTGATGGGTGCAAGAGCACTTGTTTTTTTTCAAAAAATACCACGAGACACTGTGACACCCTGGCACAAGCCCCGTCATGCCCTAAATTTCCCTACAGCGGCAAATATATTAGGTTCCGGTGAGTACAGTGCAATAGGAGAGAAGGGGATTCTAGGTCCTCGCATCGGAAGAATGCCATTTTCGCCAGTGCTCTTCCAATGAGAATTGGCAGGAAAATCAAGTTCTTGACAGAATGCCTTTAGTCAGGCTCGTTTGATAGGATAGGTTTGGGCTACTTTGGGTAAACAGACGATTTGTGAGCATGCCAGGATGCGCTGATGAGTGCTTGATTGCTGGTCATTGAAACATCTGATTGTTACAAGCATACGAATAGCAGCAGAGGTCTGTGGTAGAATGGAAGGTCAAAGGGTTCGACTGGTTGAAATGTCATCTGTGAATTTGCGGACTGTCAGAAAGCGGCGCAGCAGTTTTAAAGCCCGTCGATTTTCGGCTCTGTTCAAAACATATAATTTCGCTTTTTGTAACCAACTCAAGGCAATAAGTGGCCGGAGATTGATAAGAGTTTTAATCCCTTTCCCAGGGCCTAAAACTACCTCCGCACAAGATAACGACGAGTGTTGTTGGTCCTTCAAGATAGATAGGAATGATAGCGTCGAAAATTTACGCAATAAGGCTTCTTGTTTCATAGAACCTATCTTATTTCAATATATACATGCGTGTAATGTATGTATGAAACGTATTATACCGTATATGTATGTAGATAAGTTGGTACCGACAAAGACAAGGGAGACCGGAGTGGATATGTCTGGCTTATTCGCCGCCGTCGGTACCACTTTTTCTACATACATATATGGTTAATGGCTATGCGAATGCCTGTAAGAGTTCTAGTTTGAGCCCTAAGGCACATCGGGAGAAGCATGTTACGTAACCTGATCGGTGAGCGCCCATCTACCATATACACACACATATATATGTGTACTTCGGCAGTAGACAACAGAGTTTTGGGGTAGATTGGTACAGTGTTGTTTTGGGCTCATTTGCCTTCATCCGGCCAGTCGTAACCCTGACATCCGACTGCGACAGCAAACACAAACATGTGCGCATACATATGCGACAGATGGTCCACCACCACCGTCATAAGTAGTTTATTCAGTTGACATTCATTATTGCCTCACCTCGCTAAAAATAAAGTATTCCATCATTCATAAATGGTCACACACCGTCTCGTTGGCTTCTCGAATCAAACCGCCTGGATATATATATATATATATATGCATTGGGAAGATGGAATTCTTTGGGAAACAGGAAACTTTATTGTGAGAATTTTCGAGAGTAGTTCTACAGCTGGTCTTCAGACAACGCGGCATTTCCTTATTGGACAGGCGCCAACAATGTGAGTGTTTTCCCATGCAAATTTGCGCCCAGTGTCCAGTGTGTGAATGGCCACCTGGGATAGATGGTCGAGTCTCTTTACCGCTAACTGATGTTCAGGTATACGGGTTGAGACAGATTTCCCAGTCTGGCCACAAAAGACGGCATCACAACTAGAACCTGGGATTTCGTAGACAAATAAACAAGTACACGATACGCGCAGCACACCAGCCGGCAACTACCATACGCACACAGATTGTACACCCTAAGGACAGGGTTGGCTACCTCGAAAGAAAATGCGTTGTCTAGTGGCTGGTATTCAAGGCCTTCTCAGAATAGACTGATATGTTTATTCACCAGTAGTGGGCCCTTTTCTGTCTTAAACAAAATTCAAAGGCGGAAGAAGTCAATGCAAGAGGACAGTACATATTTTAGTCAAAATTTATTCAAACTACGATAGCATTTAGCAGATCCAACGGAGAGAGAGGGAGAAGTAAATACTATGGGCCTCAGAGGCTACATCGTGGGTCGCATTAAATTCACCACCTGCGACCACCGCCGCCACCCCAGCGACCACCACCACCACCCCAGCGACCACCACCTCGAACACCAGTCAATGGGATCTCCTCCTCCACATGAGAGTGTTC